TGGAGATGAAAAATCAGAGGGTGGCATTGAACTAATTTAAGATAATCAGAAAATAAATTAAGCAATTTTCCTTTTCTAAGTTACATGGAAATCACAGAATCACTAATGCCCTTGTAAAAGGAATTAGATTCTTAAGGCTTTATTTTATATTGGATAATGTGATTCTATTTGGTGCGCAGACAGAAGTCATTTTGATCTGGGATGCTTCAGTACATTATGGGCACCCATATATTTCTATCTTCCAGAGGCACTTTTAACTTTTTTTTTTAAATCTCAGTCTCTTTGTAAGATGCTATTTTTTAAACTTTGAAAAATACCAATTCTTAACAATCCTTATGTCTCCAGTCAGTCTCCCAACAGCCCTAGAGAAAAGTAAGGTTTTGTTTAAAGTACTTTCAGTTGAGTCAGTGAATATTAGAGACAGGCAGGTCAGAGCTGACATTGTAGCTTCCAAAAATCTGCCCCCAAAAGCCCTTTTCCTTCTCTCTCTTCCTCCCAAAAGCTAAAGCAAATGAAACATTTCTGTCTGCCTGTTTTCTGACCAAAAGCCTGATCTGTGCAATAGACGCTAAAACCAGCATTTATTTCATTCCAGAACCATATCCTCAATGCCCTTGCCACCAAGTTGCCATTTGGCCAGTTTTCTAACATTTAGCTTCTCCAAACAAGAAGAAGTAAAATCATAGAGACATTTTCCTTAAGCAAAAGATGTTTACTAGAAATCTTAACTTTAAAGCAGCAACCAACCCACAGCGCGAATCGCATTTACGCCAGAGCTGTGACGAATGCCTGTTGAGCTGCAGCACTTAAACCACTTGCATCTTAAACAGCAGTTTGTCAAGTGATGTTAATTATTTGGGAGGTCTCTGCTCCTAGAAACATAAACATTTCTTTTTATACTGATCACATTCTCTTTTCCATGTGGTGCTTCCAGCAGAGACTGAAATTAAAATGGCTTCTCTGTGTGCCACAGTGTGGTTTATGGCTCTATTACCCCTCTAGGCTTGCAAGTGGGAGGCAGCATCACACGGGGGGGTCTGCACAGCACCTTCCCTGTCCTTGCTTTGCAGTGGAAACCTCCTCTCCGCAGGTGGGAGAGCTCTCCCAGGCTCAAACCCATCCACCCTCCTTGAGGCTATGCAGCTTTCCTCTGGGCGGTAACACAGGCCTGGGACTTGCAACAGCCTGAGGATCACTTGAACTTCATAAAGCAAGCAAAGGGCTCGGTTGCTAGGAAGCACCACAGGGAACAGAAGAAGAATAGGCTCTTGCAGGAGTCAGAGTCAATAAAAAACAGCCTCCAGACCTGCCAACGTGCAACTCGAACACCAGCACATGCTTCCTTCAGACCACCTCCTGGTTCAACGGGCCCTGCTTTTGAGATTGCAGCCTCAATGCCTGAGCTCTGCTTATGCCAGGCCACAAGCCTCACAGCTCCCTGAAAAACATATTTCCAGTCCTGCTCTGGTATCTCACAGCAGGTCCTGCTTTTGCTGACAAGTCTGTTAGCCAAAAAACTTCCAATATTGTATCCACGTGGTGCCACGTGGCTGCACAGCAACGTCTACCACAGGGAAAATACAGCAGTGTCAGCCAGAGAGTTTCATAAAATGGCAGCAAGCAAACCAAAGGCTTTACCTGCAGTGAGACTAAAACCGGCATTTTCAGAGCCACACTGAGCCATCTGCAAGTCAGTTCTGGGCACTTTCTCTTCAGGGCTCTGAGTGTGTCGGTCCCTGAGGATTCCTCTCCAAAGGCAAAGACAGGAACAGCCTCTGCTATCCAGACCTTTTACAGAGAGCACACCCATCCTGCCTGGGTTGCGTCCTTTTCTGTTCTCCAGACTTCATTGACAAAGCCTGCCTTGAGCAACTTCTTGGGCCCTGGGGACAAAGCCAACATGCCTGGGCAGGTCACCTCGCATGGACCAGCCTCACACAGCCCATGGAGCAGAACCCCATGTTAGGTACAACGTGACAGGGCAAATTCAGACTGTGGGCACGTAGTGTTACTTGACATGTCCCCATGCTTCCCCTCTGTATTAGGAGGCATTTACTAGTATAGGCAGAAAAGGATGTAAACTGAATCACAAAAAGGAGCCGATTTTCATAGCAAGGGGCCTTCTCATAAAAGTTATTTGAACTTGATGGAGAAGATAAGAACTCCAGATTTCTGCTGACACTTGCTGATGGGGGGGAGGCAATCAGGAGCACACTTCACATTCTATATCAAGCTCACTAACGTATATGGCTTTTATTACATCCCCCTTTTTACTATTCTCTCTTCTTCTGTAAAATAAAAGTGCTATCAACATTCCTAACTGGAAAAATATGTTCATGCATCCGATCACAGCTCTCTCTGAGCCCACCCCCCTTCACTGTGTTGCTGGACCCATGGTAAATCTCAGATAAATCTAAGGACTCCTCTCCCCAGCCCCATCAACTGCAGTCATCTTGAATGTTATTTTTAATGTCAGTGAATTAACACCGTCCCTTCAAGTGACAATCAAGGACAGAGTCAAGGAACAGAAATATTGGTGAGACTAACTCAACAAAAGCTACAGGGGAGGCAACTCTTACTCATTTTGGACCAGCTTCATTCAGATAAATATGTTTTCAAAGCAAAACATTGATTTAGAGGGGACAAATGGGGAGAAAAATGAACGGACAGCAACGCTAATAGGGATCAACTCTAGAGCAAAACAGCGATAGGCAGGGCTGCAGCATCCACTCTGACCGCAGGCACTCATACCATGAGGCTTCTGGCTGGCAGCCACGCTCTTATTTAGCCTCTGGGCAACAAGACCTCTCCAGACCTCCAGCTTTGGACCCTGCTGTGCCATCAATAATCCTTGCAGATTCCCGAGGGCAACTGACTGGGATCAATTCTTTGCTTTGCTTTCACTTTCCAAGAAGCTCCCTTTCCTTTAGGATTAATCCTTTCTTAGATTGACCCCAATGCAACCCTCTGCATGTATGGATAACATTAATGTAGATTTCCGTAATAAAAAGAAAGTAGCCCTATCAATTTTGAGATTATATGTCTAGAGGCCGTTTCTTCCTAATTCCTGCTAAATGTCAGCAATGGCAATTGTATTTGATTAGCAAATTTATTTGATACTATTAACAATATGAGTCTTCTGGCTGCGGGAGTACTTGTTTTGATTAAGCATGCAAATGATTCCCTGGGACACATCAGGGCATCCTACAAACTTTCCCGAAGAGACATCTGCTACTTCTAAATTAATTGAATGATAGCTAAACATATCACCCACAATTCTTAAGAAAACAGAAGTTAAGTAAGGAAGAGGTGAAGGAAGATCAGAGGTAAGAATGCTTCAACATCGAGGACAATCAGTCAGAGAGGAGAAAAATAAGAGAACAAAATCTAACAAATAGCATTCAGTCTCTAGGTCCCACCAGAGCAAAGCATCAAGTAGACACAGAAAAGCTGACAGGAAAATGCCATAAAAAAAAACCAAAAGAGAAATTGAGAACGCGGATGCTCCTTGCTACCACCACTTCTAGCAAGGCCCCTGCAGTCAAATACTGCCACAACTAAGGAAAAACTCATTTGCCTTTCACATAAATAGAACAGATTTCAAGTATAAACTTGACTACCCATAAAATCTCTATATACAGAGGTACTACACATTTCCTTTTGAGAAATGTTGTCAGCAGTCAATACGCTTTACTATCAGCTGTGTTGGGACCCTGACAGGTGACCCACAGGTCAGAGGCATGAACCGAAATAATCTCTGGGAGCCCCACTTTTAGCAAATGCCAACACTGCTTTGGCACCCTGCCCAGGGTCTTCTGCACCAGTTAATCCAACCCCGAGCAGGATTAATTTCTCATACACACACACTCATTCGCTCTCAGGGCTATACACCACTCATGCTGAAAGCAGAGTGCATTTAGAAAGAGCCTTTTCTCCCCAGTCCCATATCGGTTCTCAGCAAGCAACTGTCTGCAAAATACGGGAGATGTTAACCCCCTACTGAGGCTGATCCCACCACCAGTCACTCCATCAAATGAGAAGTTACCCCAAAATCTAGCCAATAGCTTAGAGATTATAAGAATACAAAGTAATACTAATTTCCAAAGAAAACCTCACTAACGACTGGTTTTGTCAGGTCTTCATTTTTTTCACTATTGTTGTTTCTTATTTCTTCTGGTATATTTACAGTTTTAATTAGGTACAAGAAGAGGGAAAACTATTCAATTCAAAGGTGTGTACAGCAGTGTGCACTGGAGTACAATGCTGTTTAGCGATATTAACCGCAAGAGTGAAATGTGGTATTTGGAACAGTTATTACAGTATAGGCAATGAATACAGAGAGTGAGAAACAAAGTGTGGGTCTGATGTCAGCACTTGCATATAGATATACCATTCACTACACTACAAGGATTAAGAGAAGGCTAAAAATAGAGCTCTGTTGTGCAGAGTAAGAGTAAATGAAGTCACATACAGTAGCTATTTTACACCAGGGAAATGGCCTCCACCCTCTGCTGTTCTCCAAAGCCCTTCAGCAGCTCTCACCACAGCTGAGGGCTCCCACACAGCACCTGAATTTCCCATACCCTCCACCAACATGCATGAGCAAGATCCAGAAATTGTTCTCCAGGAGAACAGAACGCAGAGGAAGGACAATGCCAGTGCTTCACACCTTCTGCACAGGAACAAATGACCAGTCAGGTTCAGGAAAGTCTAGGGAAAATAAGATCCTAATGAAATGGGAAATTAATCCAGGCAGCCACCCAAAAGTCTATTGTCGTGCAGCACGGATGGAGTCCTGCTACACCATAATTCCTGCTTCCTTCTCCCTTTTTGTGGCACAACCACACAACTGTGGCTGTGTTGCTCATCAGGCCTATATACATGTGA